ATTAGCTCATTTGGTCACGTGACACAACGGCTGCACTCAGCGCTAGGGCTGAACGATTTTGGAAAATAATCTAATTGCAATTTTTTTTCTTTATATTGCGATTTTATGCAATTTTTTCCCCCAGTTTAATTGATCATGTCTTTTTTTAAACATATACAAACAACAAATCAATCTGTTTCATCGCTGTGCAGATTAGGTGCTAAAAGACACGCTGTGTCCTAATTAATGATCGCGTTCTGCCTACGATATATTTCAATCAAAATTGCGATTTAATTTTGACTTTTCAAGCAACAAAATGGCCTCTAAATAAAGACATTTGTAAACAAGGACTATTTAAATCAAGAACTTTTAATGTTTTTATTAATCAGAATATTATTCAAGAAAACAGCTTTTAACTGATTTGGACATCAATCCTTGTTGATCATGAAGTCCAAAGTGCAACCAACAAACCAGTCTATTTATTAAACTGATTAACTGGTACTTAGTGCTATGTATGAATATATAAACTCTAAAACAAGTAATAAATTTAGATTATCTCACTGCTGCGACTGTCTTCCCTTCCATTTGGAGGCAAATCCACTTTAAACATTTTACTGACACCTAAAGAACGCGTCTGATTCACTAATTGTTACATAGCCAAAAATTGCAGACGTCCGCGATTTGGAAATTGCATTCTTTTCAATCGCGATTATATTGAAAATGCGATTAATTGTTCAGCCCTACTCAGCGCTGTTCCTGGCTGAATGAGGAAGCTGCTCGACTCTATCGAGTGTAGATTGCTTTGGCTTGAGATCATCAAAAGGTCAACACTTTGGCAGCTGAATTTTTACCAGATAAAAATTGAGTGTAAGGAATTCAATGTGTAAAAAAATTCAGTGTTTAAAATTTGGTGTTAAAAAAAAGGCGGATTCCAATGAGACTGTTTTTCTTCCATAATCGAAGAGGTTCGAGAGTACAAGTCGTCGAAGTTCTCACTAGTTCTCGAATAGGCCCCCCCTTGCTCTTTGGCGGGAAACTGTTGTGCGTCCCTAGAAATTCCAGACCGACGGTGCAGAAGCATACCAGCAAAACTGGTTCGCTTCCAGACCCAAGCTACATTTGATTCCTGCGGATGCAGAAGTATAATCTGCCCTTCAGTCTCTCTGATTCTTTTCTATTTCTATTATCAGGCTGCAGATATAATTGGAAGGACATTTTGCCTCAAATACGTTGATTTCTTGACCTTTTTTAAGACTTGACAGGTTTGTTTCTCTCACAGCCCGTGCTTTTATTTTATTCGTTTTTTTGCCCTTTTCTATGAGTCTGGCAGATTTACTGTTCCTTTCCTGATCTATTTATTAGTGAATTATTTGGCGTTGGTATTTTGCAAATTTGATGACATTTGTTTCTTCTTGCATTTTTTCTAAAAGAATTTAAAAATAAAACAATCCACTGGACTTTATTTCCAAGTTTGAAGACCTTTCACTTCCCATCCAGGAAGCTTTTTCAATTCAATTCAAAATGTGTTCAAAGCCTTATAGAGTCGACCAACAAAGCCTTGTTTTGGCGTAGAAAACATGCAAATTTAAATGGACAATGACCCACGATGACTTCTACTGTTAAATAGTTGATTCCCACCTGCTGGCTAATCCGAACCCAACCTGATTTAGGCCCCGTCAAAGCCAAACTCTGGCCTAAACGCACAAATTTTTCACCAAACCAGCCTCTCATCCACACGAAGCCGGCGTTTCGGGGGTCT